CTAGATCACCTTCTAAACTCTAGACTCCTTGACAGGAAGCTCCATACCTGTCTAATGTCTACTCCCTAATGTCCCCTATACCCCCCTGGAGCCTGGCATATAGTCTGTGTACGATAAATATGGACCAAATGTGCAAGCAAATACCACATACATGCTCTCAGGAGGTTTTATCTTCAGGTTTAATAATGTTTGAGATAAACACTATTAAATAAAAATTTAGGTTTTGCTTCTTAACATTTCACCACAAATGATTTGGGGAAGAATATTTGGTTTAGAAGGCTAAAATTATAACTTTAAATTTCTTGTGAATATTTGATATCAAGACAGAAAACAAATATGGGAATCTTTAACAGCATACATTTTTTTTTTTTTTTTTTTTTAAAGTAACAAATGTATGCTTGCTTTTACTTTCAATCTTTATGATAAAACTTCCCATTTAATATATACTATCAATGCAGGTCCTTGATTTTATTTTATTTTTTTTTTTTTAAATATTAAATTTTATTTTTATATTCCCCCATACAATTGCAAACGCCCAATTCTGACACCAATCCTTTCCCCCCCCGCCCCCCAAAAAGTGTCTCTGGTTCATAGTTTTTTGTTGACTTTGATTTTCACTTTCTTATATTCATTTTCCTGGTCCCTTATTTAAGTTTTCTAGATTCCTGCTATGAGTGAGACCATCCGGTATTTTTCTTTTTCTTTTTGGCTTATTTCACTGAGCATGATCCCTTCCAGTGCCATCCATGTTGCTGCAAATTGCATGTGTTTATCTTTTTTGAATGCTGAGTAATATTCCATGGTATATATGTACCACATCTTCTTGATCCAGTCATCTATTTTTGGGCATTTGGGTTGTTTCCAAAGCTTAGCTATTGTAAACAGTGCTGCTATAAACATAGGAGTGCAGGTGCTCTTTGGAATTGATGTTTCTGTGTCCTTTGGGTAAATACCTAGGAGTGGAATTGCTGGATCATATGGAAGCTCTATGTTTAGTAGGTCCAGAAATCTCCACACAGCTCTCCATAGTGGTTGGACCAGTTTGCACTCCCACCAACAGTGCACAAGAGTTCCTTTTTCTCCACATCCTCGCCAACATTTGTTGTTGCTAGTTTTTTTAATATGTGCCATTCTCACTGGTGTGAGATGGTATCTCATGGTAGTTTTGATTTGCATTTCCCTGATTACAAGTGATGTTGAACATTTTTTCATATGTCTGTTGGCCATTTGCATTTCCTCTTCAGAGAAGTTTCTTTTTAGCTCTTCTGCCCATTTTTTGACTGGATTATTTTCTTTGTTGTTGCTGAGTCTCATCAGCTCTTTGCAGATTTTTGTGATCAGTCCTTTATCATTAGTGTTGGGTGCAAAAATGTTCTCCCAGTTGGTGGGGTTTCTCTTTGTTTTTGTTATTGTCTCTTTTGCTGTGCAGAAGCTCTTTAATTTGATGTAGTCCCAGCTGTTTATCTTTGTCTTCACTATCACTGCTTTGGGTGATGTGTCTGTAAAGATGTCTTTGATGTGCAAATCCCGTAGTGTTTCGCCTATATTTCCTTCTATGTATTTTATGGTTTCAGGTCTTATGTCTAGTTCTTTAATCCATTTTGAGTTGATTTTTGTGTATGGTGTGAGGTAGTGGTCAAGCTTCATTCTTTTGCATGTAGCGACCCAGTTTTCCCAGCACCATTTATTGAACAAACTTTCTTTGCTCCAATGCATAGTCTTTGCTCCTTTGTCAAAGATTAGTTGACCATAAATCTGTGGGTTTATTTCTGGATTTTCTATTCGATTCCATTGGTCTGTATGTCTGTTCTTGTTCCAATACCATGCAGTTTTGATGATTATGGCTTTGTAGTATAGTTTGAAGTCTGGGAGTGTGATGCCTCCATTTCCTTCTTTTTTTTCAGTAGAGCTTTGGCTATTCGGGGTTTTGGTGATTCCATATGAATTTCATCAATAATTGTTCTATTTCTTTGAAGAATGCCATTGAGATTTTGATTGGAATAGCATTGAATCTGTATATTGCTTTTGGTAGGATGGCCATTTTAATAATGTTTATTCTTCCAATCCATGAGCAGGGGATGTCTTTCCATTTCTTTGTGTCTTCTTCTATTTCTTTTAACAGTGTTTTATAGTTTTCTTTGTATAGGTCCTTTACCACTTTTGTTAGATTTATTCCCAAATATTTGATTTTTTTTGTTTCGATAATAAAAGGGGTGGTTTTTTTGATTTCTTCTTCTTCAGATTTATTGTTTGTGTATAGGAAGGCTACTGACTTTTGCGTGTTGATTTAGTATCCTGCCACTTTACTGAATTGATTGATGAGTTGAATTAGTTTTTCTGTGGAGATTTTGGGGTTCTCTATGTATATTATCATATCATCTGCAAATAGTGATAGTTTGACTTCTTCTTTTCCTATTTGGATTCCTTGGATGTCTTTCTCTTGTCTTATTGCTCTGGCTAGGACTTCCAGTATTATATTGAAAAGCAGTGGTGAGAGTGGACATCCTTGTCTTGTTCCAGATCTTAATGGAATTGCTTTCAGCTTTTCACCATTGAGAATGATACTGGCTGTTGGCTTCTCATAGATGGCCTTTATGATGTTGAGGTATGTTCCTTGTATCCCAAGAATTTCAAGGGCTTTTATCATGAATGGGTGTTGCACTTTGTCGAAAGCTTTCTCAGCATCTATTGATATTATCATATGGTTTTTATATTTCTTTTTGTTGATGTGTTGGATAACGTTGATTGATTTTCGGATGTTAAACCATCCTTGTGCCCCTGGAATGAATCCAACTTGGTCGTGGTGAATTATCTTATGGATACATTGTTGGATTCTGATAGCTAAAATTTTATTGAGGATTTTTGCATCAGTGTTCATTAGGGAGATTGGCCTATAGTTTTCCTTTTTTGTGTTGTCCTTATTCGGTTTTGGTATTAGTGTAATATTGGCTTCATAGAACGTGTTTGGTATTGTCCCTTCCTTCTCAATTTTTTGGAAGAGTTTGTGAAGGATAGGCACTAATTCGTCTCTGAATGTTTGGTAGAATTCATTTGTAAATCCATCAGGCCCTGGGCTTTTGTTTTTGGGGAGGTTTTTAATTACCATTTCAATTTCGCTGCTTGTAATTGGTCTGTTTAGGTGTTCTATTTCTTCTTTATCTAGCTTTGGGTGATTGTAGAGTTGTAGGAATTTGTCCATCTCCTCTAGATTGTTGAACTTGTTTCCATATAACTGTTCATAGTAGTTACTGATTATTCTTTTGATTTCTGCTGTGTCTGTTGTGATTTCTCCTCTTTCATTTATGATTCTGTGTATTTGTGCTTTCTCCCTTTTTTCCTTTGTGAGCCTGGCTAGGGGTTTGTCTATTTTATTGATTTTTTCAAAGAACCAGCTCTTGGTTTCATTGATCTTTTGGATTGTTTTTTTAGTTTCAATTTCATTTATTTCTGCTTTGGTTTTTATTATTTCTTTTCTTCTACTGGTTCTGGGTTTTTTTTGTTGTTCTTTTTCTAGATCTTTGAGCTTCGAGATTAGGTTGTTTCTTTGAGTTCTTTCTTGTTTTTTGATGTGAGCTTCTATTGCTATATATTTTCCTCTTATTACTGCTTTTGCTGCATCCCATACATTTAGGATATTGGTGTCCTCCTTGTCATTCAATTCAAAGAATTTTTTTAATTTCTTCTTTGATCTCCTCGTTAGTCCAGTGGTCTTCCAGTAGTGTGGCTTTTAATCTCCATGAGGTAGGATAGTTCCTTGCCTTCTTTTTATGATTTATTTCTAGTTTGATGCCTTCGTGGTCAGAAAAGATGGTTGGTATGATTTCAATCTTGGTGTATCTGTTGATGTTTGTCTTGTGCCCCAGTATGTGATCGATCCTGGAGAATGATCCATGTGCGCTTGAGAAAAATGTGTACTCCGTTTTTTTTGTGTTTAGTGTTCTATAGATGTCTGTTAAGCCCAAATGCTCTAGGTCCTTATTTAGAGCTTTAGTTTCTTTACTTATTTTTTGTCTTGTTGATCTATCCATTGTTGATAGTGGTGTGTTGAAGTCTCCCACTACATAACACAGCATACATTTTAATACACAAATGATGAAGTGTTATACTGAGAAAGGTGTATGATCCATGGATACACAACATTTAAAAATAGATTGTAATATTTTAACCATAGAGAATAAACAAAATAATAAACTTGATTTTATACTGACAGTCATAGATCCTCTAATGATTCCCCTGTTGGGCTGCTCATTGTAATTTAATTCTGTTCTGCTTTTACATGCAAGCTGTGTTTCCATCCAGGTCCACTCAAACAAGATCTCAGAAATCACAGAGAAGAAAATAATCTTCTAGGGTCATTGTGTAATGATCCCCTCCCCTAACCCCATACACACACACAAACACACACACACACAAACACCCTTCCTCCCCTTCACAAAACTGAGTGTATTACCTCAGTAGCTAGTATTTTGCAAGAAAACACAGACATCTAGATAGCAACATATTTTTCATATAAAGATATTTTATATGAAAGCCATTTGCTTCTCAGTTTTAAACCTGCATATTATTATTATATTTCTTGTTTTTATTTAAGAGTCATAAGCCATTTATATTCCATGGGTCTTGGGGAGTCTAGAAAGAATATTCTCACACCCAAACAAACAGATTTAGGCAGAGTGATTATAAAGCAAATCTAGGGAAAATTCAATTTAGGGTATAAACAATGTGACTAAGAACAATAAAATCACTGTAATTTCTATATTTTCCAAGATGAAGGAAATATTTCACCAACTTTGGAATGAAAGAATCAGAAAAATAACTTACAGAACAATTTTTCTACTCCCTCATGCTGCTATTCCATTTAGTTTTAAAATTTTCTTGTAGATGAGATAAGCCTAGGAATGTCACTAGAAGACTACAGCCTGTCTGCTCAACAGATATTCTCCAATCTTTCCACATAAGAGGAAGACCCTGTAGAAATATGTTTAATGATGTCAACATACCAGGAGTTATTCTTCAGTAAGCTGTTTTATTCATTCAAATATTTATCATACGTCTCTTGTACCAGGCACGGTTCTAGCCCCAAAGCAAAATCAACAAGACTCAAAGGAACTTCTGATTTAGTTCCTGACTGCATAGTAGGATCACTCAGGTGAGCTGTAAGAAAAAAGACCAGCTCTATCAATTTGTCAAGTGGATAAATAAAACATTCCATATATACACAGTAGATTGTCATTAGGCAGTAAGAGGGAATTAAGTACCAATTCATACTACAACAGGAATAAGCTTGAGTATATCATGTTATGTAGAAGAAGCCAGACACAAAAGGTCCTATACTACATGATTCCATTGATATGAAATGGCCAGAAGAAATAAAATCCAAACAGTTTAAAGTAGATCAGTGGCTAGAGGGTAAGGAAGGAGACTGCTTCCCTCCCCTGTTTTTTTTTTTTAAATTTCATTTATTTTTGCATAGAAGAACTGGGGTGTAAGCCAGAGGTGCTGGGGGGGGGGCGTTGAGAGGATTCATCAGAGACAGAGTGGGGAGCAAAACAGGTGGATCTATTGAAATACACTGCTGAGGGGAACAGCGGGGGAGGCAGGAGAGGCCTGCTGAGCCATGTGTGGGTTAGCTCCTTGGTGAGGGATCAAACTCAGGCCCTAGCAGTGATAGCACTGAGACCTTAACCCGCAGGCCACCAGGGAGGTCCTCCCTCCTTTAACCACAGAGAGTCTTTTGGGGAATGATGAAATGACCTAAAATTAAGTGTGATGATGGTTGTACAATACGAATGTACTAAAAACTATATACTTTAAATGGGTGAATTATATGATATGTGAATTATCTCTCAATACAGCTATTATAAAAAGAACTGATAAAGTTTGTTATATTTGCACATCAGAATACTATTCAGCAATTACATATAATGAGAAAATTCTTTTAAAAAATAAAATTTCATTTCAACAAGTCTTGAAAATACAAATGTGAAGCATTTTCCTTTTTACAAATCAATACAAACATTATGAAAATTCTGAAATGATCAATAAAGACATTTAAATCAGGGTGCTCTGAGTACTAATTAAAGAAAATGGAAATTATTTAATAAATAAATGATAACAAAGTAAAACTATTAAATAAAATTTATATAAATACATAAATAATTTATATAAATATACATATATATATATAAAAATTTCCAGTGACCAACCCTCCTTCCTCGGGGGGTAGGGCCTAGGTAGGGAACATTTTTTAAAAGATCCTGAAGTAGATTCTAATGTAAACCAAACGAGTCAGTGGTTTAGGGAGTCAGTCACATGACCCAACAGTTGAAAGCAGCACAACAGTTCCCTGTAAAAGGGAGGCACAGAGTGCCCAAAAGTGTTCATCTTCAACTTTGCAGGTGGCAGAGGAAGACTTGCTACAAGCGCTATCAGGCTGAAATGTGATGAATGAGTGGGAATTAACCAGGTACAATCTGGGTGGGGAGGAAAACATATTAAGGAGGAGAGAGGATTATGCAAAAACTAGGTGGCCAGAACATGCTATGCATGGCCCTGGGGATACAGGCGGGGGGTGAATTGAGTGGAGCCCATACAGCAAAGTGATGAGCAATGAGCTATGAGCCTGAGCTGATTCATAGAAGATCCAGTAAATCAGGTTACAACTTTGAAATCATCACTAATCAATCAAATATTGACAAAAAATTAGTTTAAATTCCATAACAGTGCTAATATATTTTAATAACAGCAGCATTACCATATATATGAAAAAGCAGTGCATATGAAAGGCAAGCTATTTATTCTACAGACAATGTCTGTTATGTGTATGAATTTTATATCTCCTGGCAATATCTCCATGACCCAACAGTGAGAAACACCAGGATGGTGCCTTCCATGGATTTAAATAACTAGGATTTCTACTATTTTATCAAAAACTGATGATGGCAATGAAGTGCTATGATCAAAAAAGTAGAAAGTAAAATGTCACATTTTAATTTATTTTCTCATGGAATACTCTAACAGAATATATCCAGATAGTATGTCATATTCTCTTTTTAACTGCGCACCTGCTATGGATAGGATATGTGCCTAGTGATGTGAGGGACAGAATACATACTAGCCCTGCCTTCAAGGTGTTTACAATCTGGTGGGAGAAACAATACATTTAAATATATCACCTGGCCAAGAGGTATATGTATGGGAAATGGAGGACGTGAAAGGAACAAAGTGCTGAAGAAAAGAAAGAAACCAATATGCTCAGTGGTCAGAAACCAAGCCTGGCTATGTTTGATGGGGTTTTTGTTTGTTTTAAGGCCCTGAGACTGAGTTCAGAGAGATTATTCTGGCAGAAGTGCTTCATGGTTTCAGCCTTGAGAGATTTGGATTTTCACAGGAAAAGACAATGAAAGAGCTTTCAGGCAAAAGGAAAAGACAAAATGCTTTACTGATAAGTGGAGTTCAGACTGCCAGTGCACAGAGTAATGACTGACGAGCAGATGGTAGACACTAAGCCCAGGTTGCCAGGTCTGACATTAGGCTGGGGCATCTACACTTAAACAGGTAGAAAGGAGACCTGGGTTTGAGTTTCAGCTCCACCTTATATTTGTTGTGAAGTTAACTTTTCCTAGCCTTTTCTGAAAATTGAGCACAGAATAACAATGCTAGTTTTGGTGTTGCCTGAGAATTAAAAGCAATAACTCAAGGCAGCACTTAAAACAATACCTGGCACAAAAGGTTCAGCAGCTACTGGGGTTTCATTCACTTGACTGTGTTCCTCGCCAAGTCTTCTTACAAGCCTTTCAGGATTAAAAGATTCCTGGCCAAAAAAACAAAAGCAGAATCGCCCCACTGCCCAATAGATTAGAATGAAAACTGGTAATAAAATCAGGTACAATTCCAAGAGGAGACATTGGAGAAGAACCAGGCTTTGTCTACAAGAAGTATCACACATGAGGTGCCACACATATTTATGCGGCATTAAGATCAATAGTATCTTACCATATACCACTGAAAGCATCACTATTATTTGGACATGTTTTCTCTTTGTATGCTTCTGTACCTAGCAGATTGGCTCAGTAATATGTGAGATCTTTGTTTGAAAAAAAGAAGAAGAATTTTCCTGACTATGTCTATGACATAAATGCCAGATGAGAAAGGAAAGTTCTCCTGAACTACGAAGGGATAGTTCAGGAAGGGATAGATGTATAAGGCTTTGGGAGAGAAAGACGAGCTGGGACGAGCATAAAGGTGGTCTGGACAGTAGTAACTGGGAAGTCAAGAAGGAAGTTTCCAGAGAAGAGGGCTAGAAAGGCAGTAAATGAGATGAATATACGAAAGAAATTTGCAGGGAATGGCAAACAAGTCTCAGTTACGCTCCAGGAAAGCTCCACAACAGCCTCCATCTTCCTTAGGACCCTACACCTTCTTCATTTCTGTGGGCATTCAAGGGTGTAAGGGTTATCCCTGGAGTATTGAAGTGAAATTAACAAGCAAGAAAAGACAGTACTGCCAAGAAGAGCATTAAAAATAAAGGTGTGGATTATCCAAACCTGCAGACAGGGAAAAACCTTATGTTACTCCCCAAAACTGGAATGGAGGCAGATTAAAATGATCTTTAATTTCCTCCCATCCCCTATTGCACCAGTAGCCCTTCAGGTGGTAACCCACCCCTCTTCTCCAACTTCTCCGCACTCTCACTTTCATGACAAGAGTGCAAAGAGTTGAAATGTAGTTATTTTAATAAAAAGCTGTTGCAGCAGCTTTGGAAGTTGATAATAGTTTCTAACTATCCACACCTATGGGAACAAATAGACTCGCTGGCTTTCCAGAACTTTAAGAGGCATAAAGTATTACGTGTTCAGAGTTCATTGAGCATGGTGAATAGTATTTCTCTTTAAATTTAGGTGAAAGTTATTTAAATTTAGATTAAAGGAGAATTTCCTTTCCTCCTATATTAGAACTTCCTCATCTACCAGACCCACAAACCATAAACTCAACCACAAAAATCAATGGCAGTTAAGAATTTCAACAATGCGAAACCCAGTAAAATTAGATGTTTGACACTGGCAGCAGAAAGTTTATAGACCAGCTCCAGAAAGTTCTAATATATCATCAACTCTATTATGAGTTAACAGCTAATTAAAAGAAGCAGAACACATATCACTGTAGTGGAAGATGATATATAGGTTTAGAACCTAAAAGGCTAATAGTAAAACCTATCTTAGCAATTTACTATTGACCCCATCCAGGTTTCTGAAGTAGATCTCAGCTTCCTCATCTGTAAAATGGAAACAACCTTACAGTAGTGCTTTTCAAGATGAAGATTAAATGAGATGATACAGTCAATGCAACCTGGTACTACCTAGTATACAACAGAACTATTGTGGTAGTGGAAACCACATCTTTAGTTTCTTGGAAGCAGCTCAGCACAATAGAGAGAAAATGAGCTAGAATTCTAGTTCTTCAAGGATAATCTTGGGAAAACTGATTTACCTGTTGAAGCCTCAAAGACCCATTTGATTAGAGACACCTAACTAATAAGACTAGTGCAAAGTTTAATGAGTTAATCTATACAAAGCTCCCAGTATGTATCCTGTTCAAAATAAATAGAAAAATCAACAGTATTTATTTGTTGATTCTCCCAAAGGAAAACAAAAGGATAACTGAACATGCAAAACAAAACCTGTGGTAAAATCACAATTCCCGTATTTTTCATTCATTCATTCCATAAATTTTTCTTGTGCACAAACAGTTGTGGCAAGCACAGTTTTTGACACTAGGATGGAGAGCACAGTAAGACAGATCAAGTGTCTGCTTCCCTGGAACTTCCATTCTAACGGCGGAAGGCAGACAGAAAACAGCTCAAAAAGACAATTTCAGAGAGAGAATGAGTGCTAGGATAATTCTGAAACAAGATGGTGTGCTAGCAAGGTGCAGGAGGGGAAGGTCATTTAGTTCGGGTGCATTTCAGCTCAGGCCTGCCTGACTGGACTCCTTTGGCCAGAAGGGGGACCTCACCTCGTAAGATGCTCGTGGGTATAGTGTGGAAAATGGGATGTCAGACTCACACTTTTACCCGTCTGTGAAAGGATCTCTTTTGCAGCTGCATGTTAATATATTTCTAAATGTCCCCATCTGGTACTTAAAATCTGAGGGTCAGTGCAACAACTGGTAGCGGCAAGGGGCCAGAGAGGTGGGGGAGACTCTCAGATGCTCCTCAGATCAATTCCCAGACACATCCGGAGCAACAAATTCACAGCTCCCCTAGCTCGGAGTCCCGACTAAGGAAACTGGTAGTTTGTAAGACGGAAAGGAGAGAGTACAAGTGTGCAGAAAGTGACCGGTAAATTGCATTACCGAAAGAGAGAGGCACACCGGGCTTAAAAAATATCCGGGCGACCTAAGACAAGGTCCATGAGTGACTCCAAAGGCTGCAAATGCTTCCTCGGGTGTTGAAAAGCCCAAGGCGGACCGTGTCTTGGGTCGCCAGTCGGGGCACCGGGATGCAGAAAAGGCCGGGCGAGGGGAGGCGGGCGAGCCCAGAATCTGCAACGTCGCCCGGGTCCCCTCTTGCGCGCCCCATCCCGCGGATGTGGTAAAGCCTCTTGTTCGGCCCAATTAAACAGGTTTCCTGTGCCTGCCGCCCCGGCGCCGCGCCTCCCGGCTGCCCAGGACAGCGCCTCGGCGCCGCATCCTCTAGAGCCTGCACCCAGGGCCCCGCGCTCGGCGCCTTCTCGCCAGCCCCGGCCGAACCGTCCCTCAAGGGACCGAGCCCCGGGGAGGGCAGCACCTGGGCCCTACCTCCCGGGAGGCTGGCACCAGCACCAAAGCCGATGTCCCCGGCTGGGGGCTGCCTACCAGCCGATTCTTCCCCGGGCGCCTGGAGGGGGACTCTGGTTCTGCCGAGACTGGCAGCGCCCCCGAAACCACTGTTCCTTCGAGCCCGCACAGCAGCCCGGCCCCCACCACACCCCAGGACCATTCCGGCGCGCGTCTGGGCGCTCACCTGTGCGCGCTGCCGCCGAGGACGCCGCCTAGTTCCCCGGTGCACGGCTCCGGGTTTTGTCCACAGACCCGCGAGGGCACCAGCCGGGCTTCTCCTGTCCCCTCGCGACGCGCAGCTGACAGTTCCCGCACCAGCCGCAGGAGACCGGGCGGAGACGGCCGCTTGAGCACGGACGGCGGGGGCTCGGCCCGAGCTGCGCGCTGGCCGCCGCGCGCGGGGTGCCTCTGCCCGGCCCGGCTCGTCTGCGCCGCGATCGCGCGGCCGGTTCCCAGTACTTTGCCCAGAACTTCTGGGTGCGCGCCGCCGGCTGCCGGCGGGAGGAGGGGAGCAGGGGGCGGGAGCGAGGGGGCGGAGTCTGCGCCCGCCCTGGGCGAGGCCACGCGGGGAGGGCGGGAGGCGCGGCAGAGTGACCCACACTCTCACCAATCGGGAGTCGGCCTCGTGAAGGGGGTGGGGCGAAGCCCGGGGAAGGAGCCGGCGGATTCCATGACGCAGTCTAGGGAGTTCGGACCCGCAGGTCCGAACAGGTGGGAGCGGCCCCGGGAGGTGAGCGCCGCGCGTGGGCCGGGAAAGGGCTCCCCGAGGCCCACGAGCTGCCTGAACGCCGTGGGCGCTCGATGAATGTTCCTCGAGTGGCGTCTCCGGGCAAGAGGAGGAGGGAGAAGAGAAGCTGGTGCGGGAAAGGTTGGCTTGAGGAGGAGGCTCCAGGAGACACGTGTGGGCAAAGAGCTGAAGAAGACTCGACTAGGGGGGGTCAGACAGTAGCCAAGTGATCAAGAACGGAGAAAATACGTGAAGGGAAGATCGCGGGCACGAGATGACGAAAGGGGAATTGGCATAGGACCAGCGCCCTAGACTTGACATCAGAGACAATCATGAAGATTGGGGGTCCTTGGAGAAGACCCGAGGGGAGTGTGGTTTTGTCATAGTTGCGTCATAGTTAAATTAAATTAAGTTAAATTAAAATGCTTGTGCTCCTTGATAGAAATTCCACCCCACTTGACTTCCCAAATGCATCTCCGCCTCCTTTGGTCCTAGATTGAATGCAAGCAGTTGATCACTTGGGGTGGGTTTGGAGACTGCAAAAGTGTCCAGTGCTTCCAGTGGTGCGGTGGAAACATTTACTGTGCACCCACTGTATGCCTGGAGCAGTTGTGGGCATGCAGCTATGCCAGTGGCACACCAGGTTCCTGCTTGGGTGGAGCATACATTTTAGTAGTGGAGAGAGCAACGTATACAAATATAAACAAACGAGAAAATGCTGCTGAACTACAAGCACGAAGGCCAGGACTAAGTAGAGCTTTCAGAAGTGATACGTGTGATAAGGAGCTGCGAAACAGCAGGAGGGTCTCTTGGCCGGCGGTGGCTTTTACACATTCATGAAAGTGGGAAGTAGATGGGGCACCCCAGCCTTGAAAGAGTGCTCCAGGGAAAGCAAACGGCAAGTGCAAAGGCTGTAACCTCTCCATACCCGCCGAACTCACCTCACCAAATCGGACAGAGTGTGTCTCGCCAAGCTAGACGTCTGGCACAGAGCAGAGGCTCCAGAATATTAAACCCCCGTGCCGCCCGCCACCTGCGGCACTCCACGCTTTTGCAGTCTTCCAGCTGAGCCAAAATTAAGGTTTCTGGGACTTGTCTGAGCCACGCGAATCACATTTGGTGCGCCACGCTCGGTTCTCCGCTTTCTGGAACCATCCCCATCGCGGGATACGTAGGTCTAGCTGGCCGAGAAGGAGTGGAGGAGGACCCCGACTTGCTGCGCAAGCAACCCACCGTCAGGCCGCCTGCGTCGCACCCCGGAAACCTTCTTGGAGAAGATTTAAAATGGAATGAATGGGAGGTTCTTAAATCTTCCTCCAGAGCCCGACGAACGTTGCGTGGGTGAACACACGCGTCGGGTCGGCGCGAGACCTTTCATTCCTAATTCAAGAAGGTGCTTTGCCCACGCCCAGCCGGAATTGCCTGCTCCAGCAGCTCAGGCTGCCTTCAGCACCCTGCTTCCATTTTCCAGCAGTTCCTGTCCTAGAGAAGCTTGCTGTTTCTTCCCCCTCCTCTTTCAAGATCTTCTATATGTTACTCTTCCTCTCTCTCCATCCCCCACATTCATTCTGTTCCATTAGCTTTGTTTTTTCTGCGGAGACTTTTTCTTTCAGACTTTATATCTGAAAGTTATTTGCATAAAGCTTTTATGTATTGAAACTAGGATTTTGAGAACTTGGCTTTTTCATTAATTTCTTCCAAATAGTCTCGTGTGAATATATAAATATATTATTTCTACTCCTACTTGAGTCAGTTAATTGGACAAGATGAGATTTAGTCCTGCTCCTGTTGTGCCTTGCTTCCAAGAAGAGGAATCATACTGTGTCTTCTCATAGTTTTCATTTCCTCTTCTACTTCTAAATAAGCTTCCAGGCTCACCAGCTCCTAAAAACAAAAGGGAAAAGTTAAAATTGAAGCCCACACAGAGCTAATTTTTCTTGGAAAAACTTGTTAATGTTCTAAAATTAGCTTTCTTCTTAGTTTATTTTAAAGCAAGGATCTGAATGTCTGCTAAGAAAAGAATGGTTCTATGGTAAGAGTTTCTAAAGACCTTCCTTGAACCTTTCTTTTTTTTTTAGGATTTATTTATGCATACAAGAACTGGGGTATAGGCCAGAGCTGGTGAGAGGAGTCACCAGAGACAGAGTGGGGAGCAGAACAGGCAGACTGATTGAAATACACCGCTGAGGAGAGCAGTCAGCAAGACAGAAGAGGTCTGCTGTGCCATGTGTGTCACCTCCCTGCCTGGTGATGCACTCTTGCTACCTTAGTTGCAGACAGCTTCATAGTGCTGATGCTTAACCCCTTGAACCACCAGGGAGGCCCCTTTCTTTGAACCTTTGAGCAAATACTTTTTATGTTTGGAGACACACCCACCAGCTAGGAAATTTTTAGTTGACTGAAAGTTTTTAGCATCTGAATTCAAAGCAGGTAAGCAGGTGTTACTCCAATATATTATGTTGTGCTGATAGTAAAGGAAGCTGATGACAATGGAGTGTTTTGGTGGGGAAATCTAGAGCCCTCTAGAATCTGACTTCCTGGGTTCCTGTCTTGTGACACTTCCTAGTTCTAAGAACACCTTTCCTTGCGTGTAATATGGAGATCATAATTGTACCCTACTGAGCTACAGGAAGAGTTTCATCATCAGTCTGAAAACAATTTTCACTTAGCCTCCCTCAGAGTCCCCAGTCTCAGCACTATTGATATTTTGAATGGGTTATTTCTTTGCTATGTGGGGGAGGGGGGACTGTTCTATGCAATTAGCAGCATCTTTAGCTTCTACCCACTAAATTAAAGGAATACCCTTCCTTCCCACAGCCAAAAAGTATTCAGACATTGTGCAATGTCCCTGGAGGGCAAAATCACGCCTGGCTGAGTACCATTTGCCTAGCAAATAAGTGCCCACAGGTTAGAGTGCATAATGGGGAAGTGTTTAAAAGATAATGGATTTCTAGAATGTGAACCTCAAGCAAATTTTGTTTCCCTAAATCTTATCTGCCAAGTGGAATCATAATAATGTAAATGTCTCAAGACTGTCTGAGGAATAAATAAATAAATAAATAAATGTGTGCATGTAAAAGCAATTTGTGCAAGACTTGGTATATAATAAGCTATGTACTTACGTAGTTCTCATTTTCTTTCTGTGAAGTAAGGTTCTGGGCTAGACCAGAGATGACATGTAATGGCTTACTTGCCACCACTACCTTCCTGCCTCAAACCAGAGATCACTTTTAAGGCTGTCTCTCTCACTGAGCCATAACAGGGTCTCAGAATACTCAACACTGTCTTTAAGAAGATATTGCTGATACTACTGATAGATCGGGGTCACCATATAGGATGACACTGAATAGCCATACTGGGTACCATGACCTTTAAAGTCATTTTAAGATTAAGGTCATTAGATTAAGTCATTAGATTAGAATGTCAGTCTTCTAGAAGGGACTTCAAGACAAATGTGATGAGAAGGAACTATAACCTCATCAATCCATTTTCTTTCTTTTTAAAAAATATTTATTTATTTATTTATGCATACAAGAACTGGGGTACAGGCCAGAGGTGCGGGGGTGAGAGGATTCACCAGAGACAGAGTGAGGAGCGGAACAAAGAAGACTGACTGAAATACACTGCTGAGGGGAGCAGCGGGCGAGACAGTAGAGGTCTGCTGTGCCATGTGGGTCAGCTCCCTGGCCCACCAGGGCTTGAACTGGTGCTGCAGAGGCTGAAGACAGCTTCACAGTGCTGTGCTTAGCCCCTTACTCCACCAGGGAGGACCCTCATCACTCCATTTTCTGAGGTAAGGACTAAGACCCAGAGAGTTCTAGCATCTTGACTATAATCACACAGCCTATGAGTGGTCAGAGGCTGACTCTCCTACAGTCTTATACAGTCCTCTGTTTTGCCACTTGTACCACCTATGGGAGGAAGAAAAAACACCTATGCAACCCTCTCCATCCTGTCTACTGTTTTTCTCCTTCACTGTTATCTGAAAAATGAATCAAAGTATTTAATTGAGAAGGAGCACCTATTATTATAAGCATTCTTTCAAAGTGTTAGTGATCTCATTACTGAAGACTACACAAGAATTCATTAAACATAAATCAACTGTCTCTTTGGATAAAGGATCATTCTTGGCAGGCACTTTTAAGAGATCCAAAGATGAATCAGTGTGTGTTCCTGCCCTCAATGTTTTTACAGTTTCATATATTGAGAAGATCAGACATGGACATAAATAACTACAACACAAGCTAAAAACTGGAAAATATCCTAAGAGAGTTACCAAAATGTTTTCAGAGAAGGGAGAAATTATTCTGGGAATTAGGAGCAAAGAGTCACTTCCTACAAGTCTTTGTTGACATTTTTAACTTTTTGATCGAAAATACTAATTTATGACAATCAACCTTGTAAAGGAAGTTGCAATTGTTTGGCTTCCTGGTTTAGACACAATTCCTGTTGAGTGAATCCTAACAAGTGCAACTAAAGTCAAAGTTCATTCTACTTCCAAATGAGTCATTTTCAACAGATGTTTAAATTTTCTGGAATGTTCCAGAGAAAGGTTGTCTTCCTTTAGTGACAACAGGCTTGCTTTCTCTCAACCATTGGATAGAAACCATTTTTTTAGCACTTTAAATTATGGGAG